AATAAGAATATAAAAATAGCACAAGTTTAATTTTCCCATCAAAAAAACAATTAGATTTATGACAGCCTATACTTTCATTAAAGAAGCAGCATTTTTTTTTTTTGAAAACTTCAACAGAAAAAAAGGCATATCAAGTTTTTGTATGAGAGTTGTTTATTGTGGCCCATCAATTTTATCATGGAACGCTTGAACACCTCAACATGTTTTTATGATAAAAATTGTTTCCTGGATGAATTATGACAAAAGTGGTGACATTGGTCTCCTGATTTAATGGCTTCAGATTTTTATCCAGGAGGAAGTAACTTTAATAAATTAAAATAACAATCTTAAATCATCATCATTGGGTTCGGTTACAATAGAACAAACTTTTCAAATTCAACGTAGCTGTCATTCCACTGATTCGAAGCAAGTAGTTGTCATTGATGTCACTGTGTCTGGTAAAAAAAAACTTCATAAATACCAATAGTTTAAAAGTTTATTTCAATTAATGATCTCCAAGTTGAAGATGACTCAATCTCTATAATTTATGATTGCATTCCTAGTGAAAGCCTTGAGAAATTAAAATTTATAAAATGTTTAAGACTGCATACTACATCCTGTTATGGCTGTGTCTTCACCTAGGAACACTTGTATGTCATGTTCAGAAGTGAACAGAGGTGTTCCATCAAAAAAAGGGGCCTACCATCCACTATGCTCCTTTACGTGCGTCTAGGGATCTACATTGCCCACTCTTTGTTGGACCTGCTGACAGTAATTGGGATGGTGTAAACCTCAGATGATGATTCTTGTCCACAGTATCCTTGGAGCTCCTTAAGACATATGTCAACGGATTCCTTTTGTAGGTAATATTGATGTTACTGGCTCTTGCTATTTGTAGATGGTGCATCTCATCCATCTTAAATGGTTTTACTGTCATTGTTCTTTAGCTGAGGAGATATAAAGGATCTAGGCAATAACTGACACCTGGTCGATAACCATGTTTTTTCGTTAGGATACTTAAGGGAATGGTCTACACCAGTGGTTCTTAACTGGTGTTCCACAAACTTGTTGCAAGTGTTCTGCAAAATTATGAAAGCAACTTTAGCATAAATTTATAGTTTACAATGCACACGAGATGCAACTTGCACTTTGCAGTGAACTGTTCTTGTTACCTTTGCAAAGACAAGAAACTCAGATATTATCAGGTGCATACCAGAATTCTAGTGAGAACACAGCAAACTATAGTAAGCATGTCCTCTCTGAACAAATTTGAAATAGCTTTCACCAGTCAACTTGTGAAGTTCCACTAGTATGCCAGCAGCAGGTGCCGAGTAATTCATGAAGCTTGGAGTTTTCATTTTCTATTCAGGAACAGCATGCTGTCATCAAATTTTTGTTCACTCTTGGTGAAAAAGCAGCCAATATTCACAAGCAGTTAATGGAAGTCTGTTCTTGCTGACTACACAGTTTGCAAGTGGGTTCAAGAATTTTGCAGGTGGAATTAGCTCCATCAAAGACCAGCCAAAGCCATTCCAACATGATTACTGGTTGGCATGCAAAACATATGCCAGACAAAAATTTTTGTGAAAGGTCTTCCAATTTTGCTCTGCTGCACAGAGCTCAAGTCGTCTGAGATTTTACAATAGAAAAGGTTATCAAAATCTTGCCACATCCTCCATACGCACCAGTACGAAGGATGTGGCAAGATTTTGGCACCTGGTTCCAAGTGACTTTCAGCTGTTTGCAAAGCTGAAGGATTCACTCTGTGGCACACTTTATTCATCAAAATTTAATCTTGGTAGTTTTTTCTGGAGTCGTTCAGAACCACGAGTTTAACCACTTGTCAAAGCACTGTGCAGAGATGCAAAGTGTGTCTTTACAAAAACAGGGATTGTGTTGAAAAGTGACATCAAAATTTTTCTTCAGAACTGACCAGTTTAGAAGTTATGGCTAAACGGTATGTAATTACAGTATGTACCTCATACATCTAAATAAAGTTTTTGTACAGAGAATCCATAGCTTCAAAAACATTAAAAACCTGTTTTAACCTTGTTGGTAAAGTTTGAATATCTACGGAAGCTCAGTACAAATCTTTGCATTTACATGCTGAAAGTAATATGGTTATTTAAGATGAGGAACACACATGCATAAAATTGTGTGACAGAAAACAATCAGAAATCAGCTTTCGGTTCAGTTTCTGTTTTACGCCAGAACACACACACGTAAAAATTCTGGTCGAATAGAAATGCCACTAACAGTGCTAATTTTATTAATTTTTCCTCTTGTATATCTATTCCTTTGTACCTTCCATTTTTTTCTCCACTTCCTCTGCTATAATACAGAAAATTTAAATTAACATACGCTTATTCCGAATTCAAATAAAGAACGTGTGATCTAAATACTAAGCCTATATATCAATTCTACTAGACCTACCAGTTATTTGAAATTTAGCACCTATAGCCATCCATAAATGTTGTTTAAATACAATGTCTTTATACGTGACACAAATGTGGTCGAACGGATTCGGTAAACTCCTCTATTTCATTTCTTTTTCGAGACTGTCACAATTTTAAGGTTAACCCTCATTGCTGCCATTGTTAGAATAAAAACCATGTGTCTACATTGATGTCACAAAAAAGACTTCTCTTTATTCGAGGAATTTTGGTGTAAAAAGTAGACATGCTATACTCTTTTTCAGTTACGTTTCGGCCAAAAGTTCAGAAAAATTTTTACGCTTTCTGTTTTATGCTAGATTTTACACCAAATTTTACGCATGCGGGTTCCTGGCCTAAAGTGATATTCTTAAGTTGTAAAAATTGACACGCTTTATTTTGGAAAAAAGCTTTTATAAAATGATATTTGGACAATATTTTTAATTACTTGAATAGCATAAATGAAAATATTTTGACATCCACTGACAAGTGTCTCGGGAAAAATACGAGGGCGGTTTTTTCAATCTCCGATGGTCCATAAAAAAAAAAGTAAATAACAAAATGAAAAATCCTTATCGCTTGCTTTTGCTTGTAATCGGATAGGTTACATAAAAGCCAGTGCATAAATTGTGCAATGCATTTTGCATGTGGGATTCTTTTATAAGTATTTAGCCTAGATGTTTTCAGGTGAATTAAAATTTGAAGTGCATAGATCTGCTGGAAAATTTTAGGTGTAGAAAAAGAAGCCCACGAGTTTGTGTCAAGCAATCTAAGTTTTCTGACAGATTACTGGATACGCATCCCTCACACTAAGTTGTTGAAGAGCGCTACAAAAACATCTGACAACACAATTCCATCAACAAAGAGCAATATTTTGCATCACAAAATTATATCTTTTGTGTCAAGATGGCAAGTAAAGTAGAATGCATTCTTTCTCTACATAGCATTTGTAGCACTACCATTACAAACTAGCATATACCTTGTTTAGGTAAAAACAATTTCTACAAGAGACCCAGATCAGATGCCTAAGTTAGTCGAGTGATAATGCTTATCTCGACCCCGTCGAGAACTGCCGATACATTAAGGCACAAAATTTATTTGCAGAGGTCCGAAAATAAGCAGCAACTGTTGGAATGCTATTAGAAGCGAGAGTATTTGAAGAAACTCGTCTGCCCTATGAAGCATTGTTATCCTGTTTCAGTTGTGTTTTCATAGCATATATTATGGAAACTCTGTTTCTGTAACTGAACAGCAATATCTTTCGACAGTGCTGTGGTGTTGATGTACCATTATGCGTAATGGCATATCCCTCAAATGCTTTTCAATGTTTATTGTACACGATGCAATTTCCACAGCCAATGTTATATACCAAATGCTACACATGTACCTTAAAAGTCCCTCCTGCTGCTCTTTTGCGAACATCAAGTGGATGGAAATGAAAGTTTTGTGCTCTAAAATTGCTAGCAGAGTGCCTATCCATTATTATTGGATGCAATTTATTTTCTGCTTTATAAACTTTTTGACATTTATTTAAAAAAAAAAAACATTTGTATGGAATTTGAGTTTTATGTAAGTAGGATGAATCAACGTGTCATAGAAGTTACTTGGGTCTAACAAGGGAAAGCTTTAACAGTCCATTTCAATATCATTTGTGTGGATAAATCTAATTATAAATCTTTATCAAATAAAATAAGTGCACTTCCCAAGCTTTTTTCTTTTTAACACGAAAGTCCTGAATGTGTGTGAGTAAATTTTGCAGGAATTTTCAACAAAAACTGTGTAGTTGTGAGGTGGTGTCAATGAGCAAAGTATTTTTTTTTCTAGATCAATGCAGTTTTACATAACTTGAAAACAAATCTAAATATAAAATAATTGAAAATTATACATTTCCATAATTGTTTGTTAATAAGAGTTGTTATAAACATAGCTTAAACTATGCAAGAATTGTGTATGGTAGTGGAAATTGTAAAATGCCATGTTGTCTGGATGTTCTTCTTATATGTTTGCATGTTTTTAATAGAAAATAAATTTTTCTTTTAAAAGCACGCAGCAATTTGGCAGATTAATATTAAATTTTATAGTTAAACTTGAAGATTTATGATTTTACTGTTTTCTATCAAAATTTGTTTTTAGAACTAATATTCCTGGTGAGAATTTCTTGAATGTAATAATTTTTTTTAGTTAACTGCAAGGTTAAGGGACATCAATTCACAAAAAATTCAGTTTCCTAGGAGAGATTGGTGCCACTGCAATATGTCATCTCCCAAAAATTTGCTCTGGATCCAAATATTCCCAGAGATCAGACTGATGGAAACAAAGCTTGGACTTCAATTTCAAACCCTCAGCCAAATAAATAAATTCCCCAATATTTGGTATTAGAAATACAAGAGGTAAATACTTTGCTCTTATTACATACTTTTGCACCATCCATGTGATAACAAGTATTGTACATTTGTATGACCACGGGCCAGAAGATTGACGTGGCTGCAACGGACCGTCGTGCAAACCTAACTAAAAGTAGATTAACGGAGTACGATTAGCCGACTCCGACCATTATTTATTAAAACAGACTAAACACACACGAAGGGATGAAAAAAGTAAAACATTTAATCAAGAAAATCTTTTACCCCTTAAGAACTTCCAAAAACAAAGTATAAAAAATTACTTAAGTACGGCAATACACGTAGAGAGATCCGACAAGTGGGATAATTTCTCCACAAGACAAGACTAAAGTATCTTCATTGGAATAGTTCCGTTTACATTTTGAGAAAGTTTTGATCTGCTTCTTAACTGGTGAAAATAAACAGGTATGGTTGACACAAAACAAAAAAACAAATTGTTTCCTAGTTTGAAACTCCAGATGTTTTCCTTTTATCTAGATAAAATCATGTGTACACAACATTTTCGTATAACAGAACAAGAGAATGTTTTCTCACAAATAAAATGGTCGATGGATATTAATTTACAATTAAAAAATGGTCCGCTAAAAACAGGAATTCCAAATTTTTAAATATATAAATAATAAAGTTAAATGAGAGGATATTTGTTTTAGTTGTTTGTTAATAAGATTTATCATAAACATAGGTTAAACTATGGAAGAATTGTGTATGGTGATGGAAATTGTGAAATGCAAGATGCAGTTTCACTTTACAACTTTTTTTTTTTTTGGAAAAACGCATAGGTGCAGCCGATTAATTCTTCGTTGGTTTTTTTTTACAAGAAGTGCATTTCGGCTAACAAATCGGTCTTATTGGACCTTCTTAGATTCCTGCAGAGTTTCGTTTTGTATCGAGGGAGTTGTGGCATTTGTTTTTGTCTCGTCCGGATGGTCTTCATATCTGTTTAAATTTAAACTGGATCAGTATATGTATCTGAAACGTACCAAGTCTAAATGTGAGGACACTTACAAAAACATTGCCTTAATGTCTCCATTGATCAAAGCCACCAGTAGTGGAACACCAATACATGCTGGTACCAAATAAAGCAAAGCAGGCTGAAAGATTGAAAGTAAAGTAAGAAATTTCTAAGCAGTTTATTACTATCTAAATAATATAATATAACTAATAATACCTGAGCATGTTTAAAATAAGCCATAACCAGTATGGTAGTCACTAATCCTATGAAATATGCAGCAAAACTTGTATAAAAATACAAATTTCTTTTTCTCTTTAGACTAAAAAGAAATAAAATTTCAGATCATAATTAATAAACCGACTGGGAATTTCATCCTGACGTACCTCTGATCAAAACGTAACAACAGGGCTATAAATATTCCCGGAATGACGACGTCTCCCAGACCCAGCATGGCATAATTTGTTCCATCAAAACCTTTCTGTAAGAAGTCTTGAGGAAACACCACTAGTACAAAATAATAATCATAATGTCTAAACATAATAATAAAGCAATAACTTATAAAAAAAATCAAAAAGGTCATTACATTTAATTGGAGCCTCAAAGGATTTGGCAACAGTCACCATTACATTAGTACCAAATACCTGGACAATAAAAAATAACATTGTTATGCAAAAATATGGAACAAAAATTTCAAAATAAGAGCATTATTTACCCAGAATATGTCATACACAAAGAGACCACCCAACAGAATGCATCCGGTGACGACATTGTTCAGATGCAACAGTTCCACGCCATTGACAGCAAAAGCCAGTCCAAAGAGATTGTTTGCAACCCAGTGCTGGTTCAAAATAAATGATGTGTTATCAGAAGTCTAAAATTTTCTGGCAAAAACCACATTTAGCTCATTATTACCTTTTTCCATAGATACCACATCCCTGTCAATGTGCACAGAAACAGGCACAGTAGGTCCTTGTGATCAAACTCATAATCAATAATATCTGAAATGATCATTTTTATTTAAATTTTAATTTCTAAATTGTATACTGTAAAAAAACGAAATGTATGTACTTGTTGATGGGTACCGATCGGCAAGTGAATGTATATCTAAGTTGTATGTAATAGGCAATATACTTTGATAGGAAATTTGAATGTTTAAACTGGGCGTACTGGACAGCTAGTCTCTTAATTTGTAACGGCTGCAAAAATCATAATACAAAAGAAATTTGAATTATTTGACGAAATTAATTAACATCATTCTGTGATTTGAATAAGTTGACGAGGAAGAACAGATTACAGGGTTTAAGCTGTCGATAGTTTTTTAGTTAGAATGCTACAATAATTCAGATTTAGCGACAACTAAATCTTGGTACATTTTGCTAAAAAACCAACATTTTACAAGTGGTTAAGACGTTTTTAAGATGCTTTTACTAGTGATGGGACAATACCAAAATTTCTCCCTATTCCAATTCTCTTGAATACTTTCTGACGTTTATTTTAGTTTAGAAAAATTAATGATTTACATTATTAATTAATGTATTGTGCTCATAAACATCAAGCATAAGAATGGGAAGTGATTGGGAAATCCAGAATCAATCTTTTGAAAGAAACCCAAAAATTCTTCATTTATATGTAGACACAGATGCTTTTATTGTGTAGTAGAAAATAAATTTGTGATTTTATTGCAGATAAAGTTAATATTGGAACACCACATTTCGTTGGCCAAAACGACAACGGGTAGGGGGAAGGTAACGAGAAGACATCACCTTGACAGACATCACCTCTTGTATGGGGCATCAGGCATTTTCTGCTTTGTAGACACGAAAGTTTTACAATAAACAAATATTTTAAAATTACAATATTAACAATTAACTAACAATTTCTGATGGAATTGGATTTGTTTAAAAGATTTGTTAATGTCAGATATGTCATTGGCTAAAGTTTTTAAAATGATAGTTGTAAATAACTTCTCTCAGTTACCCTTGTATAAACAGTTAATGAATTTGTTCTTTCACACCCAGTGCATACTGTTGAGTGTGAAAGGTTTCAGTGAGATGACATTCTCACTGAATCCAACTCCAATTAATGAAAACTTCCAACTGTCTTGATGTAAAAAATGTCAGTAATTTGTTAAACATCTCCAGCATTTGTTGCCTGGTGTGAATCAAAACCAAGAAGGGTTGTACAACAGATTTATGGTTATATTGGTTGTACAGTAATCTGTGAGAATAAACAAATGTTTTAACAATAATTTATTGTGTATTGTTCTGGGCAGCCTCTGGATAAAAATGTTAACTACAACTTTTTGAGTAAAATTAGCTAAACTGCTGCAGAAAATTTTTCCCCAGCTTAAACCCTGAGATTATTCTTTACACTTACTTATTTTTGACTCTTCCATGTACTATTTATGAGACTACCTCCAAAACACAGTACAATCCCACAAACTCAATGTGGTGTGAAGAGTTACAGAATAGCAATGATGCTAGTATGAACAGTGGAATTTTCATAAAGGTAATACGTACGGTGGAACCTTACTTAATGAGGACCTCTCGTAATAAACAAAACAAAGTGTGAAAAAACGACTTGCTTAATAAGTGACATTTCACATAACAAATGACGAAAAGAGGGGAAGTCCCAGATAGAGTGATGTAACATGCGCACAATGTTTAGCACTCAATCTGCTAGCATATTAGTGTCACTTGTGATCACACATTTTTCCAAACTTGTTACATATAAACATCAACAACCATAGCCAATTATATAATAACGACACCAAATGATATGCCAAATTGTTAGGCTATGTAAAGGCTATAATTAAATATTAGAAATTAAATAATTTGACTAGAGGTAGGCAGTTATGCTGTCATCTCGTATTAAATTTAATGACCGATTCCAAATTAAATTTCATTTTTTTGTTTTCTGCAAATCAAATTTGCATTCCAAGTTGGTTCATTCTGCACTAGAAGAAAAAATGATGATTCATGTTTCTTTACAATGTATATTATATAATTTTCTTTAAATAAACATTATACATAAAACATTTGAGTATTTTTTTTTTTTTTTGGCATGGAATGAATTATCGTATTTTACATTAATTTACATGGGAAAAATTGTTTCACTTAACAAATGTTTTGCATTATGAGTAAGATTCTAGAATTAATTATGTTCGTTAGTGAGGTTCCACTGTATATGAATTTGCACATAAAATGCTCACTATTGGTACATAGTTATTATATGACAAGAGAACCTTCCAGAACCTTTTGAAACATGTAAAACAAAAGTTTGAAAGGCAGCAGATTCAATTTTACTAAACTGACAGACTATGGAGCTACAAACTGAACAAGTTCTAGAATAAAATAATTTTTATACCCTTATACACCTTTAAAGTGTGACAAAAATTTAGAAATAATCTACATTTTATAATTTACTTGAAAATGTGAAACTGCTCTGATCTCTTATTATATTTGTCAACTTGGACATAAATTATTAATAGGACTGTTAAACTGGTGTTAAGTATTAATGCAAAATTGAGCAAAAGTTCTTAAAGAAAACAGACTTTCTTTATTGAGCCTCCTCGATGACGACAGCAAGTAAAAATGATAGCACACTCAATACGCAAAAGTATTGTACGTTTGAGCTGAATATTGTAAAGGTAAAACATCTTTTAACCATACCTTAGGAATTTTTGAATGATTTTAATTTTCAATGTAATTTAATTCTTATAATAGGATTATGAATCAATTTAAAAATCCATCAAAAAGCCCATTATTGTCAGGAGTTGGATTCTTGTATTTCGTAAGCCTTTCACATTGTATAAATTAATTTTAGTAATTTTAGTGTTTTAAAATTTACTGATAATTTATTTGTCATTTGTAGTTAAAAATGATAGCCATTGTAACCCTGCTGAGGAGGGGCGTGATAACCCGAAACACAGTTGTAAACAAAAGTATGTGTACAGGAGGCTCAATAAAGAAAGTCTGTTTTCTTTAAGAACTTTTGCTCAATTTTGCATTAATACTTAACACCAGTTTAAGAGTCCAATTAATAATTTATGTCCAAGTTGACAAATATAATGAAAATTGAAATAAGGACAATAAGGCAATAATTGCTCTGATCTTTATTATAATTTTATTATTTGAAAGGTACAACGTGATGCAATGATTGTTCTGAATTATTTTCCAAGAAATGAAATGGATAACAAGCATGATAAAACTGAAATATAACTGATAAATGAAACAATGCATAAAAATGGATTCTGAATAGTGCTTTTAAAACTAATATCTGATCAAACTTCCAATTCTATCAAATTATTTACAACCCAAAATACTTATCCAGCATTGTTTCAACTAGGTTTTTGAGACAGAATTCACTAATTTCTTCCCACTTTTCAATGAATGCCCATTTAAAGTCTTCAACCAAGTTAAACTATCTCTTAATAACAAAATTTAATCCTCAAATCTTGGAAACAACCATCCACAGAATTGAATTTCAATTTCCAAAAAGAACTCCCAAATAGATTTGGCAGTGTGCCATGTAACATAGGTATTCCAGTTTGGAAACTGCAACACTATCTTATCTCCAAAGGAAAATAAATGCTTCTCTAGCACATCTTGATATTTATGTTGGTTTGTTCTAACACATACAAATGCAATATCCTAGTACATTGTTTAGAAAACAGTGTACTGAGATATCTTATGTCATTCCTAGATGTGATCTACCCAAAGCACTGCCCAATACAATTTCCCACAGAATAATTCTTTTGTTTGTTGCATGCACCTTTGGCCTGCTGGGTGAATGTCGGATGCTGTAATTTTTTCTCATAACTTTCCTCAATCTATTCGGTTTCTTTGCAATTTCAGTCACAGAAAAGCTTGATTTGACAAATGCTGCAACTTTTCCTTCTTATTTTTCTTGAAGTTTCATTACATATGCCAAATAAAGTGGAAAAAATAATCTGCACACAAAACTATTGCCAAGCGTTATTTGTACAAGTGCTTGAACACTGTTATTTTAACTTTCTCAAAAGTGAAATGAATAACTATTTCTAAATTTAAAATGTCAATCAAATTAGTCATATCTTGTTATTCAGACATGCAAATTTGTTCTCTGACCTGTAATTTATTACTTTACAAATATTAAAGTAAATATATTGGAAAATGTGGTTTATTATATAATGTCTGAAAGTCAAAAAACTACCTTAAAAAGTCAAATTTTATGTTTTACTAAGTACAAAAAAGTGAGAAAATTCACTATCACAGAAATATAATTGGTAAATGTCGGCAGTTTCAAATCATTAAGCGAAACAAATAAAAATGTGAAAAAAAATATTTTAGCAAAGATGCAGAGAAATCAAATTTCTTTAGTTTACCTAAAAGCCTGAGTGTTTAAAGATGCTGTTATCTTCATTGATCGTCAAGAGAGTTATTTGTACAATAAAAAGAATATAAAGGAGAGTTGATGATGTTACTTACTTTCTTTTTCAGTTCCAGTGCCCCTAGTAAATATCAAGTGATAGGGAACATTTGGAAAGCTTTCCGGCACCAATTTATTAACAATGGGACTTTAATTATAATTTTTCATCATCAAGTTTTAATGAAAAGAAAAAAAAATCGGTAAGAAAAGAATTAGACCTTAACGCAGTTATATATTATTTTTATAAGTATAAAAAATATAAACTAAAAAAAAAATTATTACAATACCTTAATATGTGCGCTAACGCTAAGACACCAAGGAAGAAAAAGTATCCAGTCAAAAGAAGATTTATATACTCTTTGGAAAATATCTATAAAAAATAATGACAAATATATTTTAAAACTATGTTTGATAAGATTAAATGTTTAAGAAAATATTAAATATAAAAATCCTTTGAAGCTTTCATTATTTATTGAAACAGTTCTCATCTTTAGAATAATAAAATTTAAAGCTAAAAAAAATTCATTGACTACTATTAAAGATGACAATTGGTGAATTTTATAGCAATTCCTCCTTTGTTTCTTTAGTATAAGCTAAAAATTTAGATTCAAAAATTCACTTAAAAAAGTTTTGAAACAAATGGCAACATGTATTCACTAGATTACTGTTTGATAAAACAAAAGATTTTTCCACTTCTTTCTTAGACTATCTGGAAGATGACGACATTAACATTAAGTTTATGAAGCTAATAAAATAACATTTAATTCAATTCATTGTGTTAGGAGAAATTTTTATATCACTGATTTGAATAAACTGTTTTGTTAGGAAGATCAATGTAACTTAAATTTTATACTAAATGTTAAACATTTTACTTATTTAATGAAATATATGCTATATATTAGGGTTTCTCATTTCTTGGTCTTTTGCTTGTCCCGGGATTCCGGGATAAAAGTGAACTGCTTCCCGGAATCGAATTAATTATTTTTAAGATGTACAAAAGTATCTTTAAAAAATGAAAAATAATTATATCATTTGATTTCAAGTAATTTAATACATTCTGCAACCTCCAAAATCTTGTTAATAATGCCGTGTAACATATATATTAAAAATTACCTTTGAATTACGTAGAAATTTTCACAAATAGAAAAAATTTATTAAAGCTTGCTGGAAACTGCATACAACAACAAAAATGCTTTGAATTGAGTTGAAAATTTAAAAACAAATGAACTTAGATCAAACTTCTAACTTAAAAGGTAATTTTTGTTTTTTAAATAAAACATAATACAAAATATTATTGTAAATTTTTATAATAAGATTTTAAAAAGCAAAGATGGTCGATACTCCGATCACTCAATCTGATTCTTATTTTAGTAATGAAAAGTCCTGCTACCGAGAATGCCCTTTTCGATTCAATTGATGTGAGTGGAATTCGGTCTTCTCTTAAATGCATTAAACACATGTTATGTGTTTTTTTGCCTGTAACCTGGAAGATTTCTAGTTTGTTTTCGAGATTGTGGTACTTCTTTTGCTCTCTAGTATTCTTGATTTGTCTACCTCGGCTGCTTTAATAGAAACATCGAGCTTATAGCCAGATAATTTGGCAGTTTGTTTGGCTTTAATAATCAGGTTTATAAAAAAACTTCATACTTGCAGACTTCGTACTCGTTTGTATCCTTGCCCAACTTGGCATTGCGCAGTTATTGAAGCTACTGGGCATGGTTAAAAATTAAGACAGCATAAGTGCAATTATTCCAGATATTACAGATTCTGACAAGTAAAGAATTTTCAGAGTCCTGCCACAAATAAGCCACATATTGATTATTGACTATTTGACATGCCATAACGAGGAAAGTTTAAAAAACTAATAAGTAGGTTTAAAATTAATAAATACAAATGTATTCTGACCGTTTATGAGTTAATTATACTTTCTATTTGCAAAATTTCCTCAACCTTAACACAAAATAAGAAAAAATGAATTTTTAAGAAATTTGAGGGATTTTCCAGGATAAGAAAAATTTCCTGGGTTAAAAAAACAACTGGGATCCCGTTTGAGAAACTTTAGTAGTGTATATGAGAACAAGAACTACTCAAGCACATAATATGATTCGTCATTGTGATAATATATCAGATACATTAGTTTATTAATATTTTTTAAGATTTTTATGCTTCTCTGATATTTTTCCTGTAGTTACATTGTTGTTGCTTGGCAATTCTCTGTATTTTATGTATTCAAATATTTTTTTCAAAGTACATTAACATTCCAAAATGCATTCCATTTGATGTAAACCTGAGGAAGATCACGACTAGATTGAAAATGTTTGTTTTCGAACTTCTGTTTATCAAGTAAAACTCACTCAGCAAAACATAAATTAAAACACCACACCTTAAGTTGCTGAGAAATTTAATAAAAAATGCAACGTTTTCAGCCAAATCTGTTGGCCATCATCAGGTTAAACAAATTCGAATATAAACCAATTTGAATTTGTTTAACAGTTTATTATAACTGTAGAGTCTGTATCAGTGCTGATCACACCCACATATGATCCTTTACAACCTCTTGTCAGTCCAGACAATCACATCCCCATTGGCAATTACACACAAGTGACTAGAGTTATTTCAGAAGGGATTGATTTTTGGGAGCTAACATTGTCTTGCTGATTACACAAAGCTGGTAGAGCAGTGGAATAAGTGTTTGTGTAGAGGTAGATTATATTGAGAAGTGACCAATATCAGCAAAGTATTGTTGAAGATTACAGTAGAATTAATTTGATACTCTTCATATTAAATAATATAGTTTAATTTCCAGCTAAATACTACAATGTACAGGTATAATTCGAGTTACGTCATTCTCAATTATACGTCGTTTGTCAAAAAATATATGGAAAAATAAAAATCAAGTTTAAGTCATTTTATTCGACTTTACGTCCATCTGCCACAAATATTGNAATGCAGGCAAAGTATAATATTATACTTTGCCTGCATTATAGCAATAGCAATTAATTAAATTTACAATGACTTATTTGAGAAAATTAAAATACATAAACAAGAATATAAAATGCAGTACTTTTTAACATACAATGAATAAAGTGTATAACAAATGACTCTTCTCAATTTACAAATGAGATTTGTGCAGACACTTAGGAATGAGATTGAAAAACAACTGCCACAGGAAATATTTTACATGTCATTGTATTATTAGCTTCCTTCATTTTTCCCAACAATCTTCAATTTATAATTTCTTAATTAAGTAGGATGCTAAAAAGTAATCAAAATAATATGTGCCTGAAAGCAGATTCTTATTATTGTTAAGAAGAGGCTGCTAATATATGATAAAATTCAAAACTTTTTAGCTTATACATCAATACTTCTGTCATCAGATAATGATGTACAAACAATGAATTTATTGGCATCTAATTATAAAAAATATTTTAATAGAATATAGATGTACAGAGCCTTCCTATTATTATATGAAAAATTATTTTACAAAAAATTATAAGTATTCAAAATTTGATTATAATATTGACAAAAGTTCAGTCTAGTATTTATCTTTACATACAAGTAGTTTAAAAGATACTAGCTGTTACCCACGACTTTACTGAATATAAATGGGGTTTGCAAGCAAACCCCATTTATATTCAGTATTTCAACAGTCATAGTAATTAATAAATCACCAAACGATCGCCTAAATATCGGGCTATAATAAGGCTAATTAAATGATTGGTATAAATTAATTTGACACTAGAGGTAGATGTTAGGTGCCATCTCTTAAGTAAATTAATAATTAAATAAAATAAATAAATTTAGAACCTTCTGGAAAAAAGAACTGGCCCGGGACAGGGCTTGAACCCGCAACCTCCGCTTGCCGTGCGGTGCGCTTGCCAGTGGAGGTTGCGGGTTCAAGCCCTGTCCCGGGCCAGTTCTTTTTTCCAGAAGGTTCTAAATTTATTTATTTTATTTAATTATTAATTTACTTAAGAGATGGCACCTAACATCTACCTCTAGTGTCAAATTAATTTATACCAATCATTTAATTAGCCTTATTATAGCCCGATATTTAGGCGATCATTTGGTGATTTATTAATTACTATGACTGTTGAAATACTGAATATAAATGGGGTTTGCTTGCAAACCCCATTTATATTCAGTAAAGTCGTGGGTAACAGCTAGTATCTTTTAAACTACTTGTATGTAAAGATAAATACTAGACTGAACTTTTGTCAATATTATAATCAAATTTTGAATACTTATAATTTTTTGTAAAATAATTTTTCATATAATAATAGGAAGGCTCTGTACATCTATATTCTATTAAAATATTTTTTATAATTAGATGCCAATAAATTCATTGTTTGTACATCATTATCTGATGACAGAAGTATTGATGTATAAGCTAAAAAGTTTTGAATTTTATCATATATTAGCAGCCTCTTCTTAACAATAATAAGAATCTGCTTTCAGGCACATATTATTTTGATTACTTTTTAGCATCCTACTTAATTAAGAAATTATAAATTGAAGATTGTTGGGAAAAATGAAGGAAGCTAATAATACAATGACATGTAAAATATTTCCTGTGGCAGTTGTTTTTCAATCTCATTCCTAAGTGTCTGCACAAATCTCATTTGTAAATTGAGAAGAGTCATTTGTTATACACTTTATTCATTGTATGTTAAAAAGTACTGCATTTTATATTCTTGTTTATGTATTTTAATTTTCTCAAATAAGTCATTGTAAATTTAATTAATTGCTATTGCTATAATGCAGGCAAAGTATAATATTATACTTTGCCTGCATTATTATTCTGTAACATATTATATTTTGTTATTTACATTCTGTATTTTGTGATTCTCTGCTGTATAATATTTTAATGCATATGTTTTCTGTATCATACAACTTGTTATTTTATCCCCATCTTTTGTATATACTACACATGTAATGTTACTGTACCCTCTAATGTTAATGATCTGTAATAATGCCAATATGTTTTTGTCTGAACCTGGTTACATGTCTATGGCAACAGGTATGTACTGTAACTCAGTATTTTATTAATAAAATGAATCTGAATCTGTGTGTTAAAAAGAACCTTTAATTATTTAACAACACAATTAGCAAAATTAAAATGTAATAGGCCACTTGATATTAATGATTGATAGGCAAAAACCGACTGTAATCTGAAAAAAATAATATGAACTTTATAGTGAGATGTCTGTTGAAAAGAAAACTTTTAATGTGTTAAACAGTCAAAGAATATATTGAGTGTTTATGAACCTTTACTATAATGAGCCATAGTATATGGAGACTTCTCAATTTATGTTCACACAAATTCAGAACCATTGAGGTCTGCTATCTAATAAAATTTGACAGTTTTATGTTTGAACATGTGTCAAGTGTTTTTAATTTATTTACAAAATTAATTCTATATTAAGTTTAAGTTTTGATGCACTATATTTTAAAATTGATCAGAATGTTGGCATTTAATGTGAAAAAAAAAATGCATTGAAAACTGAATTTTTACTATTCTTTCTTAGAAATCAACTATTGTTTAAAAATAAAATTTTAATTCATCTGCAATAAATAAGATGAAACTTATTTCTAAATACTCACCAATAATTTTCAAATTAAAAATGTTTGACTTACATATTCTTATGGTTTATCTTTTACTTCATTACATTAAATTGTATTTTACATTTTAATAAGAAAGCTTTATAAACCAAATAAAAATACTTAAATATAAAATTTGAATTATTTGTCAGATAATAATTACCTTAAAAATTAAATAAAATCCAAATAGTGCACCACTAGCTATAATTGGAAATATAGCAGCATCTTTTCGAGACATGGTTTCTGGTTTTTCTCCAGATTCCTGAAAATAATTTAAGCAGATTAAAGTATATACTCAAAAAATATAAATATCACAATAAACAATAGCAGTAAATAATTACCAATATTACTTTGAATTTTAATAAAAATAATTTATTACAAGATAAGTATCCCAAAAACACAAATTATATATTACCAGGTGTACTGATTATTAATGCAGATTTTGTTCAACAGATGGCATTATACATGTTGATATATATGCAATTTGATGTGTACTGTACACCATTTTATTGTATTGACAAGCTTTAAAACTTCATATGTCAAATTTTATGAAGGTGTTAACATCATAAATATTTTTATGTTTAAAAATATCAAATTTCATTTAAAAAAAAAAAAAAAAAAGGGCNAATTTAAAAATATATAAATAATAAAGTTAAATGAGAGGATATTTGTTTTAGTTGTTTGTTAATAAGATTTATCATAAACATAGGTTAAACTATGGAAGAATTGTGTATGGTGATGGAAATTGTGAAATGCAAGATGCAGTTTCACTTTACAACTTTTTTTTTTTTTGGAAAAACGCATAGGTGCAGCCGATTAATTCTTCGTTGGTTTTTTTTTACAAGAAGTGCATTTCGGCTAACAAATCGGTCTTATTGGACCTTCTTAGATTCCTGCAGAGTTTCGTTTTGTATCGAGGGAGTTGTGGCATTTGTTTTTGTCTCGTCCGGATGGTCTTCATATCTGTTTAAATTTAAACTGGATCAGTATATGTATCTGAAACGTACCAAGTCTAAATGTGAGGACACTTACAAAAACATTGCCTTAATGTCTCCATTGATCAAAGCCACCAGTAGTGGAACACCAATACATGCTGGTACCAAATAAAGCAAAGCAGGCTGAAAGATTGAAAGTAAAGTAAGAAATTTCTAAGCAGTTTATTACTATCTAAATAATATAATATAACTAATAATACCTGAGCATGTTTAAAATAAGCCATAACCAGTATGGTAGTCACTAATCCTATGAAATATGCAGCAAAACTTGTATAAAAATACAAATTTCTTTTTCTCTTTAGACTAAAAAGAAATAAAATTTCAGATCATAATTAATAAACCGACTGGGAATTTCATCCTGACGTACCTCTGATCAAAACGTAACAACAGGGCTATAAATATTCCCGGAATGACGACGTCTCCCAGACCCAGCATGGCATAATTTGTTCCATCAAAACCTTTCTGTAAGAAGTCTTGAGGAAACACCACTAGTACAAAATAATAATCATAATGTCTAAACATAATAATAAAGCAATAACTTATAAAAAAAATCAAAAAGGTCATTACATTTAATTGGAGCCTCAAAGGATTTGGCAACAGTCACCATTACATTAGTACCAAATACCTGGACAATAAAAAATAACATTGTTATGCAAAAATATGGAACAAAAATTTCAAAATAAGAGCATTATTTACCCAGAATATGTCATACACAAAGAGACCACCCAACAGAATGCATCCGGTGACGACATTGTTCAGATGCAACAGTTCCACGCCATTGACAGCAAAAGCCAGTCCAAAGAGATTGTTTGCAACCCAGTGCTGGTTCAAAATAAATGATGTGTTATCAGAAGTCTAAAATTTTCTGGCAAAAACCACATTTAGCTCATTATTACCTTTTTCCATAGATACCACATCCCTGTCAATGTGCACAGAAACAGGCACAGTAGGTCCTTGTGATCAAACTCATAATCAATAATATCTGAAATGATCATTTTTATTTAAATTTTAATTTCTAAATTGTATACTGTAAAAAAACGAAATGTATGTACTTGTTGATGGGTACCGATCGGCAAGTGAATGTATATCTAAGTTGTATGTAATAGGCAATATACTTTGATAGGAAATTTGAATGTTTAAACTGGGCGTACTGGACAGCTAGTCTCTTAATTTGTAACGGCTGCAAAAATCATAATACAAAAGAAATTTGAATTATTTGACGAAATTAATTAACATCATTCTGTGATTTGAATAAGTTGACGAGGAAGAACAGATTACAGGGTTTAAGCTGTCGATAGTTTTTTAGTTAGAATGCTACAATAATTCAGATTTAGCGACAACTAAATCTTGGTACATTTTGCTAAAAAACCAACATTTTACAAGTGGTTAAGACGTTTTTAAGATGCTTTTACTAGTGATGGGACAATACCAAAATTTCTCCCTATTCCAATTCTCTTGAATACTTTCTGACGTTTATTTTAGTTTAGAAAAATTAATGATTTACATTATTAATTAATGTATTGTGCTCATAAACATCAAGCATAAGAATGGGAAGTGATTGGGAAATCCAGAATCAATCTTTTGAAAGAAACCCAAAAATTCTTCATTTATATGTAGACACAGATGCTTTTATTGTGTAGTAGAAAATAAATTTGTGATTTTATTGCAGATAAAGTTAATATTGGAACACCACATTTCGTTGGCCAAAACGACAACGGGTAGGGGGAAGGTAACGAGAAGACATCACCTTGACAGACATCACCTCTTGTATGGGGCATCAGGCATTTTCTGCTTTGTAGACACGAAAGTTTTACAATAAACAAATATTTTAAAATTACAATATTAACAATTAACTAACAATTTCTGATGGAATTGGATTTGTTTAAAAGATTTGTTAATGTCAGATATGTCATTGGCTAAAGTTTTTAAAATGATAGTTGTAAATAACTTCTCTCAGTTACCCTTGTATAAACAGTTAATGAATTTGTTCTTTCACACCCAGTGCATACTGTTGAGTGTGAAAGGTTTCAGTGAGATGACATTCTCACTGAATCCAACTCCAATTAATGAAAACTTCCAACTGTCTTGATGTAAAAAATGTCAGTAATTTGTTAAACATCTCCAGCATTTGTTGCCTGGTGTGAATCAAAACCAAGAAGGGTTGTACAACAGATTTATGGTTATATTGGTTGTACAGTAATCTGTGAGAATAAACAAATGTTTTAACAATAATTTATTGTGTATTGTTCTGGGCAGCCTCTGGATAAAAATGTTAACTACAACTTTTTGAGTAAAATTAGCTAAACTGCTGCAGAAAATTTTTCCCCAGCTTAAACCCTGAGATTATTCTTTACACTTACTTATTTTTGACTCTTCCATGTACTATTTATGAGACTACCTCCAAAACACAGTACAATCCCACAAACTCAATGTGGTGTGAAGAGTTACAGAATAGCAATGATGCTAGTATGAACAGTGGAATTTTCATAAAGGTAATACGTACGGTGGAACCTTACTTAATGAGGACCTCTCGTAATAAACAAAACAAAGTGTGAAAAAACGACTTGCTTAATAAGTGACATTTCACATAACAAATGACGAAAAGAGGGGAAGTCCCAGATAGAGTGATGTAACATGCGCACAATGTTTAGCACTCAATCTGCTAGCATATTAGTGTCACTTGTGATCACACATTTTTCCAAACTTGTTACATATAAACATCAACAACCATAGCCAATTATATAATAACGACACCAAATGATATGCCAAATTGTTAGGCTATGTAAAGGCTATAATTAAATATTAGAAATTAAATAATTTGACTAGAGGTAGGCAGTTATGCTGTCATCTCGTATTAAATTTAATGACCGATTCCAAATTAAATTTCATTTTTTTGTTTTCTGCAAATCAAATTTGCATTCCAAGTTGGTTCATTCTGCACTAGAAGAAAAAATGATGATTCATGTTTCTTTACAATGTATATTATATAATTTTCTTTAAATAAACATTATACATAAAACATTTGAGTATTTTTTTTTTTTTTTGGCATGGAATGAATTATCGTATTTTACATTAATTTACATGGGAAAAATTGTTTCACTTAACAAATGTTTTGCATTATGAGTAAGATTCTAGAATTAATTATGTTCGTTAGTGAGGTTCCACTGTATATGAATTTGCACATAAAATGCTCACTATTGGTACATAGTTATTATATGACAAGAGAACCTTCCAGAACCTTTTGAAACATGTAAAACAAAAGTTTGAAAGGCAGCAGATTCAATTTTACTAAACTGACAGACTATGGAGCTACAAACTGAACAAGTTCTAGAATAAAATAATTTTTATACCCTTATACACCTTTAAAGTGTGACAAAAATTTAGAAATAATCTACATTTTATAATTTACTTGAAAATGTGAAACTGCTCTGATCTCTTATTATATTTGTCAACTTGGACATAAATTATTAATAGGACTGTTAAACTGGTGTTAAGTATTAATGCAAAATTGAGCAAAAGTTCTTAAAGAAAACAGACTTTCTTTATTGAGCCTCCTCGATGACGACAGCAAGTAAAAATGATAGCACACTCAATACGCAAAAGTATTGTACGTTTGAGCTGAATATTGTAAAGGTAAAACATCTTTTAACCATACCTTAGGAATTTTTGAATGATTTTAATTTTCAATGTAATTTAATTCTTATAATAGGATTATGAATCAATTTAAAAATCCATCAAAAAGCCCATTATTGTCAGGAGTTGGATTCTTGTATTTCGTAAGCCTTTCACATTGTATAAATTAATTTTAGTAATTTTAGTGTTTTAAAATTTACTGATAATTTATTTGTCATTTGTAGTTAAAAATGATAGCCATTGTAACCCTGCTGAGGAGGGGCGTGATAACCCGAAACACAGTTGTAAACAAAAGTATGTGTACAGGAGGCTCAATAAAGAAAGTCTGTTTTCTTTAAGAACTTTTGCTCAATTTTGCATTAATACTTAACACCAGTTTAAGAGTCCAATTAATAATTTATGTCCAAGTTGACAAATATAATGAAAATTGAAATAAGGACAATAAGGCAATAATTGCTCTGATCTTTATTATAATTTTATTATTTGAAAGGTACAACGTGATGCAATGATTGTTCTGAATTATTTTCCAAGAAATGAAATGGATAACAAGCATGATAAAACTGAAATATAACTGATAAATGAAACAATGCATAAAAATGGATTCTGAATAGTGCTTTTAAAACTAATATCTGATCAAACTTCCAATTCTATCAAATTATTTACAACCCAAAATACTTATCCAGCATTGTTTCAACTAGGTTTTTGAGACAGAATTCACTAATTTCTTCCCACTTTTCAATGAATGCCCATTTAAAGTCTTCAACCAAGTTAAACTATCTCTTAATAACAAAATTTAATCCTCAAATCTTGGAAACAACCATCCACAGAATTGAATTTCAATTTCCAAAAAGAACTCCCAAATAGATTTGGCAGTGTGCCATGTAACATAGGTATTCCAGTTTGGAAACTGCAACACTATCTTATCTCCAAAGGAAAATAAATGCTTCTCTAGCACATCTTGATATTTATGTTGGTTTGTTCTAACACATACAAATGCAATATCCTAGTACATTGTTTAGAAAACAGTGTACTGAGATATCTTATGTCATTCCTAGATGTGATCTACCCAAAGCACTGCCCAATACAATTTCCCACAGAATAATTCTTTTGTTTGTTGCATGCACCTTTGGCCTGCTGGGTGAATGTCGGATGCTGTAATTTTTTCTCATAACTTTCCTCAATCTATTCGGTTTCTTTGCAATTTCAGTCACAGAAAAGCTTGATTTGACAAATGCTGCAACTTTTCCTTCTTATTTTTCTTGAAGTTTCATTACATATGCCAAATAAAGTGGAAAAAATAATCTGCACACAAAACTATTGCCAAGCGTTATTTGTACAAGTGCTTGAACACTGTTATTTTAACTTTCTCAAAAGTGAAATGAATAACTATTTCTAAATTTAAAATGTCAATCAAATTAGTCATATCTTGTTATTCAGACATGCAAATTTGTTCTCTGACCTGTAATTTATTACTTTACAAATATTAAAGTAAATATATTGGAAAATGTGGTTTATTATATAATGTCTGAAAGTCAAAAAACTACCTTAAAAAGTCAAATTTTATGTTTTACTAAGTACAAAAAAGTGAGAAAATTCACTATCACAGAAATATAATTGGTAAATGTCGGCAGTTTCAAATCATTAAGCGAAACAAATAAAAATGTGAAAAAAAATATTTTAGCAAAGATGCAGAGAAATCAAATTTCTTTAGTTTACCTAAAAGCCTGAGTGTTTAAAGATGCTGTTATCTTCATTGATCGTCAAGAGAGTTATTTGTACAATAAAAAGAATATAAAGGAGAGTTGATGATGTTACTTACTTTCTTTTTCAGTTCCAGTGCCCCTAGTAAATATCAAGTGATAGGGAACATTTGGAAAGCTTTCCGGCACCAATTTATTAACAATGGGACTTTAATTATAATTTTTCATCATCAAGTTTTAATGAAAAGAAAAAAAAATCGGTAAGAAAAGAATTAGACCTTAACGCAGTTATATATTATTTTTATAAGTATAAAAAATATAAACTAAAAAAAAAATTATTACAATACCTTAATATGTGCGCTAACGCTAAGACACCAAGGAAGAAAAAGTATCCAGTCAAAAGAAGATTTATATACTCTTTGGAAAATATCTATAAAAAATAATGACAAATATATTTTAAAACTATGTTTGATAAGATTAAATGTTTAAGAAAATATTAAATATAAAAATCCTTTGAAGCTTTCATTATTTATTGAAACAGTTCTCATCTTTAGAATAATAAAATTTAAAGCTAAAAAAAATTCATTGACTACTATTAAAGATGACAATTGGTGAATTTTATAGCAATTCCTCCTTTGTTTCTTTAGTATAAGCTAAAAATTTAGATTCAAAAATTCACTTAAAAAAGTTTTGAAACAAATGGCAACATGTATTCACTAGATTACTGTTTGATAAAACAAAAGATTTTTCCACTTCTTTCTTAGACTATCTGGAAGATGACGACATTAACATTAAGTTTATGAAGCTAATAAAATAACATTTAATTCAATTCATTGTGTTAGGAGAAATTTTTATATCACTGATTTGAATAAACTGTTTTGTTAGGAAGATCAATGTAACTTAAATTTTATACTAAATGTTAAACATTTTACTTATTTAATGAAATATATGCTATATATTAGGGTTTCTCATTTCTTGGTCTTTTGCTTGTCCCGGGATTCCGGGATAAAAGTGAACTGCTTCCCGGAATCGAATTAATTATTTTTAAGATGTACAAAAGTATCTTTAAAAAATGAAAAATAATTATATCATTTGATTTCAAGTAATTTAATACATTCTGCAACCTCCAAAATCTTGTTAATAATGCCGTGTAACATATATATTAAAAATTACCTTTGAATTACGTAGAAATTTTCACAAATAGAAAAAATTTATTAAAGCTTGCTGGAAACTGCATACAACAACAAAAATGCTTTGAATTGAGTTGAAAATTTAAAAACAAATGAACTTAGATCAAACTTCTAACTTAAAAGGTAATTTTTGTTTTTTAAATAAAACATAATACAAAATATTATTGTAAATTTTTATAATAAGATTTTAAAAAGCAAAGATGGTCGATACTCCGATCACTCAATCTGATTCTTATTTTAGTAATGAAAAGTCCTGCTACCGAGAATGCCCTTTTCGATTCAATTGATGTGAGTGGAATTCGGTCTTCTCTTAAATGCATTAAACACATGTTATGTGTTTTTTTGCCTGTAACCTGGAAGATTTCTAGTTTGTTTTCGAGATTGTGGTACTTCTTTTGCTCTCTAGTATTCTTGATTTGTCTACCTCGGCTGCTTTAATAGAAACATCGAGCTTATAGCCAGATAATTTGGCAGTTTGTTTGGCTTTAATAATCAGGTTTATAAAAAAACTTCATACTTGCAGACTTCGTACTCGTTTGTATCCTTGCCCAACTTGGCATTGCGCAGTTATTGAAGCTACTGGGCATGGTTAAAAATTAAGACAGCATAAGTGCAATTATTCCAGATATTACAGATTCTGACAAGTAAAGAATTTTCAGAGTCCTGCCACAAATAAGCCACATATTGATTATTGACTATTTGACATGCCATAACGAGGAAAGTTTAAAAAACTAATAAGTAGGTTTAAAATTAATAAATACAAATGTATTCTGACCGTTTATGAGTTAATTATACTTTCTATTTGCAAAATTTCCTCAACCTTAACACAAAATAAGAAAAATGTGAATTTTTAAGAAATTTGCAATTTCCCATGTTAAAAAAAAACCGGGATTCCGTTTTTGAGATCCTACTATACATACCAGCAGATGAGCCTGGCATTACCTGGGCAAAAAACAACAACAAAGATTAAGATTATTTCGTATTTCTAATCCTTCTATTCTAGTAGTCCGGGATGCCCTCTAGTGGGCATTCTAGTAGCAGTGGTGTCATTCCATGGTATAAATAATAAATTCCTATTACAAATAAAAATAATAATATACTGAATTTTTCATTGCGTACCTTACTAAAACGCAACCCAAAATGCAAAAAACTACATCAAATAATAATATACTGAATTTATTGTTAATTTAAATAATAGCTAGGGGCATCCATAGTGGCCGTTTTTGGCATACTGTGACAGAACCCAGTTCTTCAGCTTATGTAGTAGATATATAGCATATTCTTCATTAAACAAGTATAAAATTCATAAAATTAATATATATATATATAATATATTAATTTTATAACTAATTATATATATGTATGCATGCATAGATATGACAAAATCATCTCTTGGCAACCAGTTTGTTTATTGTAGCTTTATGACAATTATTATAATTTCAAATTAAATTGCTAAATAATGAAAAAATTTATAAATAAAGAAATGAGCATAATAGAATCTTAATTTAAAAACTTACTGAAGTAATGCATTTCCACATAACATTATTTTATATTATCAAACGCACAGTGTAAGGATCAAAACTAGAAATGTTTTTGTACATAAATAAATACATTAGAGCTCTAAAATTCAAATATACATGTCATAAATTAATAAAAATTATTTTATACCTATTATTGAAATTGGTTACTAAACCATAGTTATGATTCTCAATTTTAATATCTAAATATATAAAATTACTTGTCCTGACTGATTGATTCATCATCGCCCAGGGCAAACTGCTGAACCTAAAGGTGAAATTTGGTACACAGTTAGGGTACGTCATGAAAACGCACACTAAGAAGGGATTTTTCAAAATTTCCTTGCGGAAGGAAGAGGGAGAGCATTAAGGCTTAACCGGAAGAACAGCTTCTACTATACTATTTTAGATGCGATTTTTTTGTTTTCAACTACGTTTAGACTTCATTGAGTACTTAGGTGTATTAAATTGATAACATTTCAGACATTGTTATAAATATTTTTATATATTTTGATTTTTTAACCAAATGTTCAAACTGTTTTAAATTCAAATTTGTTATTGCATATTGGTTCAATTATAGAACGATTGTGAACATTCCAGAAAATTGATCAAATTGAAAACAGTTCATTTGATTNTTTTTAAAATTTTTATTCACTGCTTTTTGCTTTCTTTCCTTCACTTCCACCAGCACTTCCACTGGATAGAGGTCGCTTGGTAAAATATCTATCCAAAGAGATTTGGCTTTGCCTACTTTTTAAAATGTTTCTAAAATGACTTAGGCAAATGTCATTACTCCGAGTAGCAATACGGCCAGTGTGAACCTTTTCGGGATGTTTCTTTTCAATAAAATCGGTCACTTTCTGATAATACCTCAAAAGTTCCTTTATCAAGCGAGATCCTTCCACGATGAAGCAAACATGCAGACTGAGACCAATGAACAGAAATGAATAAAAAATGGCACTGCAAACTAATGTAACATTGTATGGTGAGTTTTTGTTCATATCGTGGAGCAAAAATATGTTCAAATTTCATGTCGTATCCTGAAAATTTTGTATGATGGAGCATTCGTATCCTGAGGTACTACTATATGTATGTGTACTGTACATAGTTTGCATTTAATTTTTTCTGTTTAGAAAACAGATTTCATATCTGTTAAATAAAATTATACTTAACATGTGATGGTAAAGAACTCTATGAATACAAATAGAAAGAAACCTCCTGGAGGTGACACACAGTTGTTGAGCTTTGTGTAAACATTCTGTATATGGTAAATACATTTTTTACTTTATGTCTGTATCATGAAACATATTAGAACATAACAAGGCAAATTATGAGTTTATCTGCCTCATCCTTCCTGTTGCAGAGCAGCTTATATAGTCGAGGTGTCCTTATAGCACCCCAACTGTATATACACTACTCTACAATGGGAAGGATGAGATGGATAAATGCAGAGCTCCAGGGATTCTTTGTTCCAGTGATGGACAATAGATAAGGCAAGTTACTTAAAATAAAACTAAAATTTGAAATTTGCTTAAGAATATGATTTTAATAACTAATCAAAGACTATTTAACATTCTTGATTAATTATTAATGCTGTTAGTATAATTTAAATATTAATATAAAAGTAAAAAGTTAACACCCCCATTTGGTTTTAACATTTAAATTAAAATTATGGATAATTAAGTTTGATGTATTTTTATACTTTTTCTTGTATGATAAGTTATTTTAAATACATTCAACTAAAACAAGCAAATGTTACAATACAACAAACTTTCGGCATTTACAAAAGATTGCAATATAACTTTACATACTGCATTTAACTCCGATGAAACTGCCCAATGCTTCAAACTGTTCGGATATCTGAAAGGCCAATTCTCTGGTCGGCGTCAACACCAATGCAAACAGTCGTTGAGGCTTTTCCAGCAAAGCTTGCAAGATAGGAAGGGCGAAGGCTCCGGTCTTTCCAGAACCTGTTTCGGCCAGTCCGATGACGTCTCTGCCTGAAAAAGATTTAATAAAATTATTGTCATCCATTTATTAAAATCTTGCTTCAATTTACATAAATCTGAATATAGATTTTATAATATCAGGCTTGTATGAAGAATTTTTAGAAGGGCTATGTTGTTTTTTAAAAAAGGAGCATTATTTTTACAATATAGATATATAAAATAACACAATACAGTACACAGCGAGGAACCAAATGAGTAGAAAATAATATCCCCGGGTTAAAAGTCACATCATTCTTTGCCTTTAGGTTTGTACCAGGTGTACAGCAGGTGTACAGGTTAATAATGTGGATTTTGTTCAATGATGGCATTACAGATATGTTGATATACAGGGTGATCGGAAAATATCTGGCCAAAATTTAAAGGGGGTTAGAGAGGACAAATATAAAAGGATTTGCAGTACAATGCTTGTCCAGAAATGCCACGTGAAGGTGGTAGAGGGCGTTGTGTAGGGCAGTCAAAACAAGCTGGCAATGCAGGAAGCTGTCATTCCCTGCTGTGATTTCATACGGCATGCAGTGCTTCACGAATGCTGAATTAGCAGATATCCATCTGACGTATGGAGCTGCAAATGGAAATGGGAGAGCTATGCAAAGGTTGGGCTTGTTACATTTGTTTGTGTCTTTTTCCTTTCCACTTTCTTTACCCTCCAGGACTTTCAAGCGGCATTTCCGGACAAGCATTGTACTGCGAATCCTTTTATATTCGTCCCCTCTAACCTCCTTTAAATTTTGGCCAGACATTTTCCCATCACCATA